AAAGCCAGCGCCTGTTAGAGGTTTTGTATCATTAAACTTACTAGTAGTAACAAGTGCATCGCTAGTAGAAACAAGTGCCTCGCTAGTAGTAACAAGAAGCTATTAGAATTAAAATTAGTAGTTTCTTGATTCAATTCTAATTAAACTAGTAGTAACAAGTGCCTCGCTAGTAGTAACAAGTGCCTTACTACTAGTAACAAGAAGCTATTAGAATTAAGTTAAATTAAACTTATTAATTAAAATAGATTCAATTCTAATAGACTATTGTTCCTAGTAGTAACAAGTGCCTCGCTAGTAGCAACAAGTGCCTTACTACTAGTAACAAGAAGCTATTGGAATTAAAATTAGTAGCTTCTTGTTACTACTAGTAAGACACTTGTTACTACTAGCGAGGTACTTGTTTCCAATAATAATAGCTTCTTGTTACTACTAGTAAGGCACTTGTTACTACTAGCGAGGCACTTGTTTCTAGTAGCTTCTTAGTTCTAATAGCTTCTTGTTACTACTAGTAAGGCACTTGTTACTACTAGCGAGGCACTTGTTTCTAATAGCTTCTTAGTTCTAACAGCTTCTTGTTACTACTACTAAGGCACTTGTTACTACTAGCGAGGCACTTGTTTCTAAAAGCTTTTTAGTTCTAATAGCTTCTTGTTACTACTAGTAAGGCACTTGTTACTACTAGCGAGGCACTTGTTTCTAATAGCTTCTTAGTTCTAATAGCTTCTTGTTACTACTAGTAAGGCACTTGTTACTACTAGCGAGGCACTTGTTTCTAATAGCTTCTTAGTTCTAATAGCTTCTTGTTACTACTAGGAAGGCACTTGTTACTACTAGCGAGGCACTTGTTTCTAATAGCTTCTTAGTTCTAATCGCTTCTTGTTACTACTAGTAAGGCACTTGTTACTACTAGCGAGGCACTTGTTTCTAATAGCTTCTTGTTACTACTAGTAAGGCACTTGTTGCTACTAGCGAGGCACTTGTTTCTAATAGCTTCTTGTTACTACTAGTAAGGCACTTGTTACTACTAGCGAGGCACTTGTTTCTAATAGCTTCTTAGTTCTAATAGCTTGTTGTTACTACTAGTAAGGCACTTGTTACTACTAGCGAGGCACTTGTTACTACTAGCTTCTTGTTACTACTAGTAAGGCACTTGTTACTAGAAGCGATGCACTTGTTACTACACGACGATGGTGTGGTAGGAAGATGGAATGGGGGAGACGAACACAGATGTGTATATATACCCAGAACTTCCAACGTCGAAGTTTAACTTAGCCAATGAGAAACGTCGAAGTTAAACTTGTACACCTCAGTGCGTCTAAGTTTTACTCATGTTAGTTGTCTTAGACAGAACAGACTCCGCAGAACAACGAAGTTTAACCTGGTTAAACAAACGTCGAAGTTAAACTTGGCCTTTGAAGATTAGGGTATATATATATTGCATTTTCTTTGACTAGTTTGTTTAAGCTTCTTTCGTTCCTCTCTTGTTTGACACGCGCAAGAATCTTCGACAGAGAAACAATGAGAAACATGCTGAGGCTGAACGTCAAGCCTTGCTCAGTGTTCTGCGAGGATGCTGCCGCTACTCTCACCACATCAAATGTGTTGTGCAAGCCTCGATCCATTGCATGTCAAATCATTGATTTGGATATTTCTAGAAATTTGAACAGTTGATATACAGCTTCTATTTTCAGTCCACTGTCCACTGCTTTCTTTTCGGTTTTGGCAGGACTTGCCCAATGCCGCCTCACCGACCACATGAGTGTCTTCCCCCAGCGGCACATGTGCTGGGAGTTTTGGAACGGCACAACAAAATTGCAGAAATGCTTTGCATGCACAAAGCCAGATGCCTGTGTGCTGTGCGCTGATTCAATTTCATTCTAAGCGCTTCCTAACATTAGGGATATTTCCCCACCTGCCAGGTGAGGGTTGTTAGATTTTATCACAGTTGTTCTTCCTTCCTCCCTCCCTCCCTCCCTCCCTCCCTCCTTCCTTCCTTCCTTCCTTCCTTCCTTCCTTCCTTCCTTCCTCCTTGCTTCCTTCCTCGCCAATCTTCATCGCCAATCTTCTTCGCCAATCTGCTTCGCCAATCTGCATCTTGTCTGGCAAGCTCCGGATCGCAATGTGCACCCCTGGACCTCAACCGCAAGGATCCGATCGCAGTGTGCAC